ATTAGGCATCTTGTGTAGTTAGGGTCATACATTTTTCTAACTAGTTTTTATTTTGGCTTGGAGTACTTGGTGAGTTTTATTCTTTAGCATACTTGCATAAGTGTGATTGCCATACTGTCATGTTTCGCATGCTTGCCAGAAGGCTATGTGCTTAAATGCTAAACTGCATGAATGCCTGTGGATGAAGGCTTGTTGTTTGAATTGGAACAATTCAACAAATGTAAGTTTTGAAGGCCACTTTGTTATGGAAAATCATGTTTTAAGCCCACTATGTTTGGTGGCAAAACGGCATCTTTAAGCCCACTTGAGGGTGGCAAATTCAAACTATTTTCGAAAGCAAACATGAGTTGAATTGTTCGAAGTCTTACGACTAGTCTATACTTGCTTGTGTGCGTCACATAGTAAAAATAGTTTAATAACCAAAATAAGAACGCATAAGGTTTATAAAATGACATATCATAGTTAGTAGAGGCCGATCTTTGATCGGGCGAGCGGGGGTGCTCAATTCATGACCTTCCCCCCTCGTACCCAAGTTCCCGTGCTGAGGCAACTTTGGTGATGGCGGACACGTGGCCTTTGGCACGAGTCAAGGTTTCCTAAATTTCCCAAAAAACAAAATATTTAGGTGGCAACTTTGTATCTAGAAAAGCAGTCCAATTTTGGCATTATTTGATTTAAAATCGATTTTTCAAAAGATTTGTCGAATTGGACTCTTTAGTGATTATCAGTTTCACATTGCACTTGTGAGACTAGATTCAGAACCGCAGAAGTCCCAACTGTGAGGCCTTTCTTTTCAAATCCTTTCCGAAAGGCGAGGGTGCGGAAAAAGGCGAGTCCACACCATGCATGTAATGAATTTAAGTTCTCCTCTTTCAAAACATGAACATATGAGTTGAGAAGTGAAAAATTATGGAAAACTCTTGCAAGTTCATCTGTATAAGTTTCATGCATGTAATATTTTGTTGGAAAATCATGTTCAAAAATGATGAAATATGCACGCATGCCCATATCTAACCAATTCTCACCATAATCAAGTTAATTCTCCAATTACTCTTACAAATTCTTGATTCTTATCTTGATTACACTTCCTAATTGGATTAAATTCCAGAATTAGAGGTAAAGTACATACCTAGAGCTTGAATTTGATGTATTCTAACACAATTCCCTTCAATTCTCCTTCTTTCTACACAATTCTCCAAGTTCTCTCTCAAAATTGAAGTCCTTCTCTCTCTCTCTCTCTCTCTCTCTCTCTCTCTCTCAGCCAAAATATGATTAAAATGAACTCAATACATAAACTTATAACATATATATAAGTTAAATTAAGTTAAGTTAATTAAGTGGGATTATGGCTAATTAAGTTAGTATATGTCTAATTAATTCTAATCAATTCTAATTGATTTATTCTAATTATTTTGATCTGAATCAAATTTTAATTAAATTTACCATATGATTCTAAATATTCTAATTCATCTATTGAATTAGCAAATTTCGGTTTCTGAATTCGTTTCGGCTTTCAATTTCAAATTCTAAGTCGATATTCTAGCAGATGTTCCATAGACAAACAGATAAACACATAATTATACAAATATGCTTAATGAAATAATGTATAAAAATAATATGCATGTTTGGGTCGTCATAGTAGTGGTGGTGATGGTGTTGAAAGTAGACTGCTTGTTGTTGTTGTTGTTGTTGTTGTTGTTATTGGGATGAGACATACCAAGCAATCAAAGAGCTCATTCTAGAAAGAGAATCCCAACACGAAGAAGAAGAAGAAGAAAAAGAAGAAGGAGAGAGAGAGAGAGAGAGAGAGAGGTGGGTGTGGCTTGTTTGATTTTCACTAGAATTTCTCCAAACACATCCCTTAAAATTTCTCTGAGTATATTTGTGTGTTCATCCGTGGAATTTATCTGGGCATTTTCACTAGAATTTCTCTAGACACATCACAATCCCCTTGGAATTTCTTTGAGTGTATTTATATGTTCACGTTTAAAATTTCTTTCGACATATTACAATCCCCTTGGAATTTCTCTAGATACAACACAATCTCATAGTATCAGAGAAAATTCACATAATGACCACAATCAGAGAAAATTCACAAAATTACAAAGAATGACCACACACAGTGACCACATCCAGAGAAAATTCACACAACCTGACACAGTCAAAGAAAATGCATACAATTAGAGAAAATTCACAAAATTCACATAGTTCCCATATCTATAAAAACAAATTCACACAATCTAAAGAAAATTCAATATGATTTGCTCACACAACTTTCAATCTGATTTGTTCACACATTACAATCCTCTTGTCCAAATTCATTTACATCTGTGAGTTTATTGTTGTCCATGATCACCCATTCTTTAGTCTTCAACAGATAGATCAAGGACCCAGCTTTATAATAGCGAACAAGCTAAGCGTGGCTGCAAAGGCGTCGGAGAGGGATTCAAACGACCGTCAGAACGGAAAGAGGCAGAGGTCTGTGTTGAAGAATGAAGAGCTAGTGGATTTGGGTTCTAGGTTTAGAAAGAGAAGATTGTGAGGTGGTGAAAAGATCCAAATCTGTAGATAGAGAGAGAGAGAGAGAGAGAAGAGAGAAGAGAGAAGATAAATGGAAAGATGAGGTTGGAATGGAAGCCAGCGGCGGTAATGAAACGGCCATTAGAGCAAAAGAAGGCGGAGGTGACAGTGTCAGAGAGTGAGGAGATGATGGATTTGGGAAAAGAGAGATCAGAAAAATAGATGAGAGAGAGAAGGAAGACCCAAATATGTAGAGGGAGAGAAGAGAAAGAGTAAAGTTGATATTTTATTTATTTTTTTGAATAAAATAGAAGTAAAGGATGTAAGGGACCTTATCTAACAGGAAAAAAAAAAAATTGTGAATCTTTCCTACTACCTAAAGTTGGAGAGGGATGTTAGACTAATTTTTCCAAAATGAAATTAAGAAAATTTTTAATTATTTTAAAAAAATAAATCCAAAAAATTTTAAAATACAATTCAAAACTCATAACTCAAAATATGACTCCATACTCAAATCATGATTCTAAAAATAATTTTAAAAAAACAAAATTAAAAAATTAAATTTTTTTTCTTTTAAAATAGAGTTTTGAAAAGAGTTTGATTTTAAGTTTTGAATTATGCGTTTGGTTATGAATTTTGAAAATAATTTTTACATTGAGTTTTAAATAATTTTGAGTTGTTTATTTGATAATAAATTTTAGGGAAAATTGGTCTAGGATCCCTCTCCCACTTTTCGTACTGAAAGAGATCCACAAAATTATTTTTTGATGTCTAAGGTCCCTAAACATACATTAGAGAAATTTCAGTCATTTATACTATCTTCATCATCTGAGCCACCGCCACCCCCAACAACCCGACTCCCAGTCCTCCTCATCTTCCAACACTTCCCAAAGCTTTACCCAGTGGAGATTCCCGGCCTCGTTCTCCTCATCTCCTTCCCTCTCATCACAATCGCATACATCTTCGTCTCCGAAGCCCTCGCGATCCAGGCGCTCATCTTCATCTCCTACGCCGGACTGAAGATCCACGACATCGAGCTCGTCTCTCGTGCGGTGCTGCCGAGGTTCTTCGCGGCAGACGTGAGGGCCGAAAGCTCATGTGCAAAACCAACTTGAGCAGTCCGATGCTGAGAGGAAACGGGCATCTGTTCATGATAAAATGAGGGTACCTGTTACTTACGACGATCTGATTGGAGAGGAGGATCCAAAAGACAAATCAACATGATCTTGGAAGAACTGCATGTTTTTGTGTTTCGAACAGATTTGTGAATTTTTGGTTCTCCAATTTAAATTCCTTTCCAGCATTCTCTTTCTCACCTACCAAGGTAATAGAAGACATATTTTGCCTATTCTCCAAGAAAGGAGGTGTTTGTGTTTGGAACTTTGGATTAGTGAAAGGATTTGAAGAGAGAGAAGAAAAATGAATGGAAAAGTGAATGAAGTAGAATTTTTTTTTTTTTCCTTCACTTTTTCCATCAACAAATCTATACATAAATCTATTCTCCAAACAAAGCATGAAGGGTAGGGGGAAGAAAATAAATGAAATGAAAAATCAGAAAGAAAAGAAGAAACTGCTTTTTGTTAGTTAGTACATATATGGTTGGTTCTTATTTAAGAATCCCATTGAATTGAATTGAGGTTTTTTGTTAGTTATTTATCTTCTTGATGTATATAAAGTTGCCCATGATGTTAAAGCAAAGAAATTTACCACCATCTCTGGCATCCCAATCACAGAAATTGGAATTTCTCTGGATTGGAGAGGAAGAATTTCTCTGGTTTGGGTTGGAGAGGGAGAATTTCTCTGGGTTAAGTGAATTTCTCTGGATTGGAGATGAGAATTTCTCTGGTTTGTGAAGTCAGAGAAATTTCCTAGACCAATGTACAATCACCAAGTTCTGTTCATAAAAATACAACTTTACTGTAAATAGAGAGAATTTCTCTGGCTTGTCTGGTTTGAAAAGAATTTCTCTAGTTTTGGACCAGAGAAATTTGTGGGTTTGTTAGACATGGGTTTAATTGTAGTTAATAGAGCCAGAGAAATTTGCGAAGTCAAAGAAATTTCCTAGATAGCCATACAAATTTCCTTTCAACAATTTTCTCTGGATTTATTTGGTACTCAGAGAAATTTCAATTTTCTCTGGAGAGAATTTCTCTGGAACTGAAATTTCTCTGGATTTCAATTTTCTATGGAGAGAATTTCTCTGGGATTGAAATTTCTCTGGATCCTGTTAAGGGACCTTAAACATCATGAAAATATTTGATATACTTTATACTATAAAATCATAATATGAGGTACCTTAAAAAAAATACCCCTAAATTTTATTTATAAAAAAAATAAATAAATTTTAAGAAGAATTTTAAAAAATTTTGATTGGAATTGTGATTCCAAAAAAAGAACCAAACATGGCCCAAAACTCCCCAACGTCTCTCTGTCTTTCTCTAACCGAATTGTAATCTTTGGTTTGGGCATTTGCTTCTGTAATGGCGACCCTGCAAAGCGGATTGCTTCCTTCTAATCATCTTCTTCCTGACAATTCATCCTTCAACATCTCCACTACCCACCACAGATTCAACGTTTTCCCTCCAAAATCCAATTTTCATCCCATAACGGCTAAAAATTCTGCTCTGAAACAATCACTAGTGTCCACCCAAACAGACCCACATGCCCAACTACTCGCAACAGCTCAAGGTGCGAAAAAAATTATAAGTAATCTGAGTTTCGAACACAACAATGAGGTTGATTGTCTCTATCTCTTAAACCTGTTCAATACAAAGGGTAGCTGTTTCTACGTCTGGAAGCAAGTTCATGGCCAGTATGTAAAGTTGGGTTTAATGAGATCAAACAATTTGATTGGAAACAAGCTTGTCATACTGTACTCGAAAAGGGTCGAATCATTAGATGATGCGCGTCGATTGTTCGATGAAATTCCCGAGAGAACTGTGCTTGCTTATGCTGCGTTGATAGGGTCTTATTGTCAGTCTGACAGATGGGAAGAGTTGTTTGCAGTGTTTGGATTGATGGTTCACGAAGGAATGCTGCCCGATAAGTATCTTGTACCCACGATCCTCAAGGCGTGCTCGGCAGTCAAGTTATTGAGGATTGGTAAAATGGTTCATGGGTATGTAATCAGGAACAAATTGGGGACCGATGTTTTTGTGGGTAACGGGCTCATTGATTTGTATGCAAATTGTGGGGACTTGACATATTCAAGAAATGTTTTTAATACAATGCGGGAGAGAGATGTAGTTTCGTGGACTGCCCTTTTTTCTGCTTACATGGATCGAGGGCATCTAGAAGAGGCAATTGATGTTTTTCATTCAATGCAAGTAAATGGAGTGAAGCCCGATTTGATCTGTTGGAATGCCCTTGTCTCGGGTTTTGCTCGGAATGGAGAGATTGATTCAGCTTTCCAATCTTTGGAAGAGATGCAAGAGAAAGAATTGAAGCCAAAAGTTACTTCTTGGAATGGAGTTATTTCGGGTTGTGTTCAAAATGAGTATTTTGAAGATGCTTTGGATGTGTTTAATAAAATGCTGTTGTTTCATGAGAATCCAAATGCCGTGACAGTAGCAAGCATCTTGCCAGCTTGTGCTGGTATGAAAGATCTAAACTTAGGCAGGGCAATTCATGGATATGCTGTTAAAAGCAATCTTCATCGGAACATTCATGTGGAAGGATCATTAATTGATATGTATTCAAAATGTGGAAGGAACGATTATTCAGAAAAACTTTTTGGTCAGGTAGAGAACAAGAATATTACCTTATTGAATGAGATGATCGCAAATTATGTCAATGAGGGGAAAATGGATTCTGCGTTAGGGCTTCATAGATCAATGAAGAACGATGCTTTAAAGCCCGATGAGATTACATATAACACAATGCTTGCTGGACATGCAAGACATGGGGAGAAGAACGAGGCATATAAGTTACTATGCGAGATGACCCAGACAGGTTTGAAGCCAAATATTGTTTCATTTAATGCTCTAATATCTGGTTTTCAACAATCTGGGCTTACTTATGAAGCTCTGAAGTTGTTTCGGATCATGCAATCACCTTCCACTAATTGCTTTTGTGTCGACGTGCCAAATGTGTTAGTACAACCAAATCCAATCACAATTACTGGTGCTCTTGCAGCTTGTGCCGATCTAAGTTTATTGCGCCAAGGGAAGGAAATCCATGGATATATAATGAAGAATGGTTTCGAGTCTAACATCTTTGTGTCGAGTACATTGGTTGACATGTATGCAAAATGCCATGATATTAGTTCGGCAACTAAGTTATTCTGGAATATAGAGGATAGGAACACAGTTTCTTGGAATTCTTTGATTGGAGGACACATTGCCAATAAGCATCCCGAAGGGGGTCTAAAACTCTTTAATGCAATGTTGACTGAAGGCTACATTCCAAGCTTAATCACCTTTATGATACTTATGCCAGCCTGCAGTGATATGGCAGTTGTGAGTGCGGGGAGAGCATTACACGGCTATATTTTGAAGAGTCAGAATATTGAACTCAACAATACCCTTGCAAGTGCATTGATAGACATGTATGCTAAATGTGGTTCTGTTGTGGATGCTAAATTGGTGTTCGACTCTGTTACTACGAAAGATATTGCTGTGTGTAATGCCATGATTTCTGCTTTTTCAGCTCATGGGATGGTCGATAATGCTGCTGCCTTGTCTGAACAAAGGGAAATCGGGAACTTAGCTTGATAATGTAACCTTTTGTGGCACTTTAGAGTTAATGCTCCTGCCTAACATTAATGTCACATCAGGGATGCGGATGCAAAGAGTATGATGAGCTTTAAAAAAATTTGGTACAAAGATAAACTTAAAGACATGTGATAAGATGACTGAACAGGGTGGAAGTAGTGAATCTTGACAATTTGTTATGAAGTTTGACATAATTTGTAAATCAGGATATCAGTATTGAAGATGATCCCTTTCTTCAGGAAAGCTGGGCATTCATACAGATAATGGCAAGATATTGACATAACCATATATATAGATCATTTTGTTTGATTGTTTGATTGTGAGATTGTTCTTCTTGATTCGTACAGGCTTAACAGTTTCTGGGTTTTTCATTGTGCCTAGCTTTGAATTAAAGTATACATCATTTCTATCATTAATATTTAACAAGCAAATCACTAACCCTTTTGTGAGGGAATAAAAATCACCAACACTGTCATGTGGCACAATTATGAATTATCCACAGGGGCGACGGACTTGAGGCCTGATGGGGTCTATCCCCCCATCAAGCAAACAAAAGATATTTTCTAAAAAATATATTTGTATTGTTAATATTTAATTTTATATAGTTTGATTCTTTTAAAAAAATTAAGCAACACATTAAATAAGAAAAAAAAAATGTTCAATACAATGCTCATGTCATTGGTATCACCATTTCAATAATATCTTGCCACCTTCTCATGTATATGTAGCAAAGTAGGTTTATTGTTGGTAAGTAATACCACGTGTCAATGGTGACATGACACTAAATTTTCAAAAATAATTATTGAACTTTTTTTTTTTTTTGGGTTTTTCGTGTTGCTTTTGTCTTTGGTGATTTTTTCAAAATATTTTAACCATATTTTTTATTTTTTAAATTCACTTAATCTAGATACACTTAAAAATTAAATATTTAAAAAAAATTGCTAAATATAAAAGAATACAAAAAATCAATACATTTTTCATAAATATACACTTAAAAAAATAAAATATTTTTTAAAAAAAATCATTCAAAACCAAACATAATAAATGTTGTTAAATTTAAAAGTTTTTTGTTTTTAAAATTTGTAAAACTTAAGCTTATCAAGTGGCCCCATCGATAAAAATGTCTTATCAATATAGAAATCCTAAATAACTGAAAATTGTTTGAAAAATGATTTCTGAAGCACTTAAACTACTTGCCAAGCAAACAATCAACTATTATAAATAAACTCACATCCCCAAAAGTTGAGGTATGTAATTTTCTCTGTATAATATTGACTAACTTGGCATCAGAGTCATGTTAATTGAATGCGTGATCGTCATATGACTCTATATGAGGTTGTGCTTGTGCCATCTCTGCCAAGGGTGATTAAGGGGTCACTGCTATGGAGAATTGTGGTTCGATGACCAGCTAAGTTAGAGATTGGAAGATGGGAATATACTGGTTTCTGGTTGCTTCTTGTCTTCATATGACCCATTCCGATTTGATCTTTAAGCAACTCCTGACATGGAGTGAGAGAGGCTATCGTGGGGATTGAGACTATGTGATCTGCCAAGGAAGGGACTGGGGCATGTGATGTCTATTTTCATGGTGGGGTCAGCTTTGAATGTGATTGTTGCTGCAGTAGCTATCGGCTTTCACTATTCTCCCTAAAACCATGAACTATGGCGACTGACTGTGTGAGTTTCATGTGACTTTATGGCGATCTTTCATGGGGTATACTTTTTTCCTTCATCATGGCTTTTGTGAGTGACTATAGATGTCACGACTGTGAGGTGCGAGTTGCTTATTGGACTCCATGTTCTATCCATGGTACAGACTAGGAGTTTGTGGGGGGAGGTTAGCATAGTTGATTGATTTTGGTGGATGCTTTAGCGTGTTTATATCTGTTTTGTACGTGTTTCAATTGTTATGTAATCTAGGTGGTTTTCTTTTGTATTCTTGCCCATATATCCCCAAGGTAGGGATTACTTGGGGGAAAAAAGGATATATGGGCAAATTTAGATTTTATTTTTAGTTTCTTGTCGATGCCACCGCAATTGCGGGATTGTTATAGTTAGTTATATGTATTAGTCTCCCCTCTTTGGGGGGGCGTTGTTAGATTTGGTGTATTACTTGAGAAATGCCCCTCATAAATGTGTAAATTCTTTATACTTATTTTATAACTTTCCCACTCAAAAAAAAAAAAAAAAAAAATTGACCTCAAAATGATGTTTTCTTGTAGATGGCGATCACGTGGTGATTTTGATCATTTTTTTCATTGAGTTTCTTCAAGTATGGTATTTTTTTTTTTTTTATGTTTGTACAATTAACACCATCTTGGAATTTGATGTACAGTTTTATTATTTAAGGTGAGGCATCCAAATATATATTTTTATAGTTAAAGGGTAATGTGATATTCCATAAAGTTGAAGAAATATCCATATAATTGACTGTTAATTTTTTATTTTTTTGTATAATATCTTATTAACCAAAAGTGCATAAAAATTACAATTTTCAGCACATTCCATTTCAGAATCTCAAAAAAAAAAATGAGTGGTTTCTTTTGGTTGAGTAACCAATTTTCAATAAACCTTTATTTCATCAGTGCTAGAAAAATTGTTCAAAAACTAATAATAGATAGAAAGAACAAATGACAAATTCTACATGCATTCTTGTTTGGAAACTTTAACACCTGCAGCCTACAGGCATGCTCCAAAATATGTAGCAGCTATGCAACCAAACCACAAATTCTTTAACAAATGAATGTCTTAGACAAACATACATTGATTGCCTCATTGAGCAAACAAATAGTACTTGTGTAGCATAAAATTACCCATCAGGACATTTGCCTGCCAAAAAAAAAAAGAGTAAACAATAAAAGCTTCACAGGATGCTGAGGGAGTAGCATTTTCTAGCTCTAAAAATTGAACTCATAGTGGTGCAACTACCGGTCATCTAATCCAGCAGCTGTTGTGGATTTCTCAGTGGCTACAGTTGGTTTCCTTTTACCAGGGCCAGTAGAAACTTTAACCATTGCTGGTCTTATTAATCGATCCCCAATGATAAATCCGCGACGGAACTCTTGAATTACAATGCCTTCCCTGTACTCTTGTGACTCCTCACGTCCAATGGCCTCGTGCACCTATTTCAGGAAAAGGAAACCAAGCTTAATAGATGACAAAACAAGACATGCATATGTAAAAGGCCCTAGTTACATATCATCAAGTTAATTAAGTAAGAACCATATTGACGTCCACCTCAGTTGTTAAAATCGAACAATTTGTGATTCCAATCGTATGATTCGATTCAATTTGATTCAGTGGGTAATCGATACAAACAGGTTGTGTGAATCGCAAATAGTTATGAATCATGGGTAAATCATGAATCAATTTGATTCGCTAAATTCGATGTTTTGCTTTCTTTTTTGATTTTTTATTGTTGGAAAAGGATTCACACAATCTTTTTAAGATCTTTAGGATTTCTGTATGCCACCTTTGGACTTTCTCTCTCCCTATTTACTCGCAAATACTCAAATCTTCGCAAAAAAAAAAAAAAAAAAAAAAAAAAAAAAAGAAAGAAAAAAAAAAGAATTGTCTCTCTGCAATATTCTAGGCTTACATCTAAGTACTTGCATTTACAAAATGAATTTTTTGAAGGCATCAAGCAAGATTTTTTAAAAAAATTAAAGATTTTCATTTTTTAACCTTGTAAAAAGTTGAAACATTGTTGTTGAGTTATTGTTGTTTGAAAATTAAAAGTTCGTCTTTGTTTACTTTCTTTATTAAAAATGGTTGATAAAAAATAGTATCTAAAAGGAAAAAGGTGAACCGTGTTAACTTCTTACCCATACCACATGATCATCATTTAAAAACATTATTTTCATTGATTTAAATCTAAATATTTTATATTTATTAGATATATTTAATATCTAAGTATGTAGATATATTTTTCTATGTAATTTAAAAAAGGTGACCAAATCTTTACTATTCACAATTTGATTCGATTCGCAATTCGGTATAATACCATTTCAATTCACGATTCGAATCCTGATTTGACAACTATGCCGTCCACATTAAAGCCACATCAATGACAATGATTCTTCACACAAATGAATTTGCTGAGAATGCAAATGAAAGTTGAAACAATCTAGGAATTCACGTAAAGGAAAATGAGAGAAACAGTTAAAGAGTGAGATCAACATCAGTTTGAGATCTTCAACAGATTTCAACAAACCTCTCCCCATGGCTGAGCACAGCGGTCAGCAACTCGCCGAATGGCTGAGAATCTGTCTTGACACAAACATGTGGAAATGGGATCAACTAGCAACATTACTGATCCTAACTGGGTCAGATGTATTCCCCAACTTCCAAACGAGGTTTGCAATCAGTTTTGACATCCCCACACCACAATCCCCAGAATTGTGGACGACATAATTCCTATTAGATTCTTGCACAAAAATATGACAGGTGTCCATCTGAACATTTGTTCTCCATGATAGTATCATTGATTCTCTTAAACCTTCATTCTTTTTCCTCTATTTTTTTTTTTGGGTGGGGTTAAACCTTTATCTTTGCAAACCAAAGATAAGTTTCCAAGCATGAACCAGCAAGCAGCACAAAATTGATTTTAGAGCAATAAAAGCAAAAACTGAGCAAGTCTCAAGAGATGTAACTTACCGAGGGATCAAACGGCTTTCCAACTGTTGGTACAGCAGCCACACGTAAGCTCCTCAAGATTTCCACAAATTGCTTGTATATACCCTGATAACTTGTATCAATCATTTTCTCCTTCTCTGTTTCTGGCATAACTTGTTGCTTTGCTCTTTCAAAACTGTCCACCATGGGCAAAAGGCTCTCAATTACTTCTCCCTTGGCATCACTCCTTATTGTCAGTCTCTCTTTTTCTGATCTTTTCCTAAAGTTATCAAAATCTGCTTGCAGGCGGATATATTTCTCCTTCCCAGAGTTTATCTCTGCTGAAAAAGTTGAAAGTTTCTGGGCTAATTCATTTTTCTCATTTTCCACAATGCTAATCATTGACTCAACCTCAGATATAGTTTTTACATCTCCATCTAGGATAGCCTCCTTGTAAACATTAATAAGCGTCTTCAAAGTGAACATCCGTCTTGGATCTGCTTCACTATCTGATATTTTTGTATCATGTGGTTGACCCTCATCTTCATTTGTCTGGCAAATTTTGATTACAACATAATTATAAAGGATAAACAATTGAGGAAACAAAACATTATATTCAGATATCAAGTTTCCGTTGTGGGAAATCTTGCTGCATGAAAATGTGAAAATAAGAAACTATTATTAATATTTTGAATTTATATAGAAATAATAGAGAGTCATGGAAAGCAACAGGATTTCTCGATGAAATGTCAAAATTGTCAATATCAGCACAATAAAATCCAAATATCAAGGAAAGTAGTTTTATTTGGAAGAGAACTCCACAACAGCATACCTACTTAATTATAACTATACAGCATCTAAAATAGGACCCATCAGCCACTAAGAAGGTGAATATAAAAACTTACATGACCCACACAACTACAAACAAGAAAAATATTTGAAAAAGCTACTACCTCTTGCCCACAAAGACTGCCCTCATTGAAAAGTTCAACCTTTTAGGAGCTAACTAATGCGTTCAAATCTTACCTTCTAACAAGAAAAAATTTCTGACATCAAAGCCCCCACCCATGTTTGGTCTAATGGATGCATTCATACCCAACACACACGCACGCTCATTACCTCATTCTATATCGAAGGAAATTATAAAAAGGTTTTTATAAAAAATCACCTCTTCGATCTTTTACAATGGAAACACATTATGGGACGGTTAGGAAAGGAAATGACGCGAATTTGAAGGTAGAACAAGTTGAAAGAAGGCAAAAGATGAGGTGTAGTGTAAGCTTTGATGCAGAAGATTGGTCGTGTCTCAAGGATCTTGAGATGGAAGTCCAACATGAGGTGAAGATAGGAAACATTAAAATGAAAGTTGAACATAAGTTGAAAATACCACATAGATAAATGATGAGATTAATAAGAGCGAAGTCAAACACAGATCAACCAAGGAATACTTAATGAAAAGTTTTGAGGCAGCACCCATTACAAAAGATATAATAAAGCTATTGTCGAAGAGCTAGTGAAGAAAAATACCAGGAGGCTACAAGGGCAAGGCAGAGACAATGAAAAGAGAAATGATGGCCTGTGGTTTTGACAAAAGACTATGAACATAAGTTGAAAATACCATGTAGATAAATGATGAGATTAATAAGAGCAAAGTCAAACACAGATCAACAAAGGAATAACTTAATGAAAAGTTTTGAGGCAGCACCCAATACAAAAGATATAATAAAGCTATTGTTGAAGAGCTTGTGAGGAAAAATACCAGGAGGCTACAAGGGCAAGGCAGAGACAATGAAAAGAGAAATGATGGCCTGTTGTTTTGACAAAAGACTATTAGCATACTAGTCAGTAGATATAGCAAATTTCAAAAAAGAAAAAGGAAAGAAAAAGGGCTCATGCATCATATCCATCATAGACTTAGTAAATCAAAGTTAGTCACAATTAATACAACCACAATAAACTACAAAATTTAAATCTATGAGCCAGAAGTAAAAAAACAAGGCAACAAATTTGCAATTGAACCTACAGCAAAAACATTGTTGAAAACTCCAACTTAAAAATAACACACCCTCATCACCTAATAAAGGCTAAATGATAATAAAATAGCTCTAGAAGCATTTAATGATATAGGGAACCACACAAGGGAAAATCGTCTTAAAGACAACTTATACTATAAGCACGAACACTTTTAAGAAGGTGGCATGATGTGCGGATACTGGGTGTTGGATACTAACACAACATCAACATGACACTCATCATACACTTCTTGACACTTGTTCGGCACATGTCCAAACATGTCCTATTATATATATATATATATATATATTTTTTAAATCCCAAACTCAGACACTTCAAACACAAAAGGAACACGTGTATTTATCGTTTAGACATATGTGAAACACATTACAAATTTGAAAAAATAACTTAAAAATCCAATTATAAGATAATAACATATAAATGTATACATATTTCCTTCCTTTAAACTTCAGAAATATTCGTATAGATGATGTAAAATATATAAAATTATACATTGCGCATATATCGATTCTTATATTTTTGGAAATTTTTGGATTGGCATGTTCTTGCCGTGTCTGTTTTAGTGTCCATGTCTGTATCCGTGTGCATGCTTCTTATCTCACAACTAATTAATACATAAGCATGGTCTAGACAAATTTTTATTCCCTTTCATTTTCAAAGAAATGGATAAATTTTTTAGTAATCTCCAATTTAAAATCAAATTTACTCTACAAAATGGCCTCATCATCTAATAATGAATTTGACAAAAATTGATCCTTGGGGGGTTTTTTTTTTCCCATCAAAATCTTTTTGACACAAGGAATGGGGTGGGACAAGTTGAGATGGAATCATGGAAATTCTTAACATTAATAATTTGAAGAAAAGAAGTAGAGTGCAAAAGCTCAAGTTGTGTCCAATGCATAGTTTCCATTATTGGTTTGGTGTTGAAGGATCTTTTTTGTGAATCTTGTTTTGCTTTTGTTGATTTTATAGGAGTGTTTCAACAGAACATGCACTGTTTACAAAAATCAAAATGTTGTTGAGTTCAATCGAAAACAAAACGAGTCAATGTTAGCACAGTCGAGAGAGAGAGAGAGAGAGAGTACTTGGAAAGTAGAGGCCTGGACTGTGAGAGAGGATGTAAATGAACGCCTGTAATTGCAGGTGATGAATGGAGATGAATTAAACCCTAAAATGTAAGGGTATGTGGTGAGAAGGTGGGGGTGATGATGAGATACTAGGGTTTTAGAAGGTAAGGCAGAGAGAGAGAGGCGAGGATAATAGTAGAGAGAGAAATTGTTAAAGAGAGAGACAGCCATCGGAGACAATAGAATTCTGACTCTGGTGGTGTTGCGTGCGGTGTTTTAGTCCTTATTTATGTAGTAGGCCAATGTTCTGGAAATCACTTCCATTTCCTTGTGGTCATCATTGCCCCTACCTATTACACTTATTTGGGGCGTTTTTGGAAGACAGTGGAAAGTCAATTTTTTTAACACAAAAAAAGTTAAGAAATCATTAAAAAAAATTAAAAAGTTAATTTTTTTATTAATTTTTTAAAACATCACTTAAAAAGTTTGCATACTTTTGAGGATAAATTATCCATACGTCCTATTTACCTAAAGTGGAATTTTCGGGGCATTCGAGCCCGAAATTCGGGCCCTCAAGCAGCGCCCTATACTTATTTGGGGCGTTTTTGGAAGACAGTGGAAAGTCAATTTTTTTAACACACAAAAAAGTTAAAGAAATCATTAAAAAAAATTAAAAAGTTAATTTTTTTATTAATTTTTCAAAACATCACTTAAAAAGTTTGCATACTTTTGAGGATAAATTATCCATACGTCCTATTAATTGAATTTAATTCTTATTAAATTTTATTTAAAATAAGTGTTTAATAAAATTATTATTAAAAATAATTTTTACATATATTACTAAAATTAATAATTATTAATGATTTTTATAAAATAAATTTGTGACATTTTTCTGTAACGAATTTTTTAAATTGTCGCTAAGGCCTCGGTTGGCAAGTGGATTTTTTAGTGAAAAAGTCACTAAAAAACTAAAAAACTAACAACTCACACCAAAAAGTCAAAGATTTCTTTTTCTTTTTACTTTTTGCACATCTTTTCGTAAAAAGTTAAAAAGTCGTCCCAAACATACTAGTTTTTTTTACATCACATTTTAGCCAAAAGTTCAAAGAGTTACTAAAAAAACTTGTTCCTAAACGAGACCTAAAAATTAAAAATTAGTGACTTTTTTATGACAATTTTTTTAGACTGTCGTTAAAATTATAATCATTGCCCTTTTTGTGATAAAATTTTTAAACTGTAGTTGAAAATTAACAATTAGTAATATTTTTTAATAGTGTTTGATGAAAAATATTATTAACTATCATAGGACCTATTGGACAATACGTCCACATATTAGGACTTATACATAAGTTTTCTTATTTTTAATATTACTAGTACTCTTAATGCACATCATTTGCTCAGTTCACACTACTTACAAATTAAAACTTTTGATTTTGTCTCAATATACACTACTAATTTTAAAATAATACCAAATTACCCTCATCTTCTCCAACAAACCTTAATCCTTACCCTTGTCCACTACCGGCTATCAGTCACTGACCACCGACCGCTAACTCTAACCCTTGCCTTTACCCTTACCTAACCCCTCGATCAACACCTCTTTTCCTTGCTACCTCACTACTATTGTAACATTTACCACTGCTGCCCCACCACCATCACAACCCTTACCGTTGCAACACATAGTCATCGCAACCTCCATAGATCTATCTCTCTCTCTCTCTCTCTCTTCAAACTACGCAAGGTTGGTCGCTGATCGGAGGCGAGTTGTAATAGTGGTGGTGTCAGCATGATGAGAAGTGCGATGTTGGTGGTCTTCGCGTGATGAGAGTCGCAACAATAGTGGTTGCAAAATGGTGGCGTCAAGAATGGACTAGGAAGACAAAGTGGCAATGGCAATGGGAGCAGTGAAAATGAGAAGAAAGAGGTCACAAGTGGCTACAATGGTGCCTAAAGAGGGTTATGGTGGTGGCTTGCAATGGTGGTCAAAGGTAGGGATTAGGCAGTAGAAGAAAAAGGCGATCGCCAATGGTGAATAGTGTGTGCAAGAAAAGAGAGTGTATTAAGAGATAAATTAGGGTTTAGAAGGATGTCTAAAATAGTAATTTGATTAAAGGACACAAATGTAATAAAAATTAAAAAATAGAAAAAAAAAATGAAAGTGATAGTATGTACTAAGAAAGATTGTAGTGTGTAAATAGAATTTCCTTTTTAATTTTTTCCCTTTAAAAAAAAACCCAATATTCCAAATTAACCTTTTTTTCTAATCCCACCTTTATATATGCACTTTCTTCTACAACTTTTTCTCTTTTTCTCTCTTTATCTCATTCACCAGAAGGACAATAGCAAAGCACGAAAGAAAGAATGATGGTCACATTAGCGAACTAGGGTTTCCAAAGGTGTATAATGGCGATGCTGATCGAGCAAGGAAAGGAAAATGGAGTACTGAGGATAAAGGGAGTGAGAAAAATGAGGACTAGGCATTAGAGAATGAACGGAGAGAAGGGGCAAGGAATGGGAATAAAAGTGTCACGACCCGAACCCGCCCCTATGGGTTAAGGCCATAACCGGCCAGTAATCACGAGATTACCTACGGCCTCAAAACAAACCAAACAAAACTCATCAGAGTAAAGGGGCCAAACAGAAGCAAATTTAAAACATTGTCCATAGAGCCGTGCTTAAATGCACATCATAACATTCCATGCATACATATGTTAATAACTCACAACAGAAAGTATAGTAACATAAAGTTCTATACAGAGAGGATCATTCAAATCTAAGTCATCCAAAACAAAGCTATATACAGACGTACACCAAAGTCCTCGCCAACATGACAAAATAACATAGAATGGCAGAAGGGCGAAGACGTGTCTTGTGCATGAGACGTAAGGGCTGACTCTTCAAAACCTTAGTTGTTCCATACAGACTTCACTGGGGCTGGGTTTGGACTTCTCTTGGCTCACCTACAAACACATAAATAAGCGTGAACGAAAGGCCAGTGAATAATATCAAATAAAAAATATTCATTGGAACAATATACATCAAACGGCCTTGGGCCCAATTTATATTTCTACTAATACATACATACATAGACATGTGTAAGTTAAGTAACTGCGGTTCCAAACACATCATACGGCCTTAGGCCCAATTCATTAGTGTCAAACTGTTATTCATGTCAAACTGGCCTTTGGCCTTTTCAAACTTCCATATCAAACTGACCTTCAGGCCTTTCAAACTTTCATATCAAATTGGCCTTTAGGCCTTTCAAACTTTCATTCATATAAAACTGGCCTCTGGCCCATTCATGAATGTCACACTGGCCTCTGGCCCATTCATGCATGTCAAACTGGCCTCTGGCCCATTCATGCATGTCAAACTTTCATTTGTGTCAAAACGGCCTTTGGCCCAACCATTTATGTCAATCGGCCTTCGGCTCAATCATTTATTCTTGTCAAAACGGCCTTTGGCCCATTCATTCATGTCAAAACGGCCTTCGGCCGTTCATTCATTCTTATCAAAACGGCCTCTGGCCCATTCATTTAGTATAACAACCATTGTCCAAATTAATGAACTTATAAAACTTACATAGAAGTAAGCAATTTGGACAACAACATATTTCAGATATCAGATATTACTCACAGTGATCGACTTATGGATTTGCCCTGGAGCTTGAACCTACACATCATATAACACATATGGGTCGCAAATAATTCAATCCGTTCTTTAATTCACATATTCCTCTTTAGGCTTCATTCTTATCTCTTTAATTCAATTACAATGCCCAATGTATGCCTAAGAGTGCTTAGAAGTGAAAGAGAACGGAAACGAAACACAGAACGATCACACAAAATTTTCAGAAGCAGGGTCCCCGCTTGAGCGTGAACTTACCCGCTCGAGCGGACTCATGAGGTCTGCAAAAGTACTGGTTATGTCATTTTTATGCTCGAGCGTGGAACTTGGACGCTCGAGCGGAAGTCCATCTTACATAGCTCCCCGCTCGAGCGGACATCAAATTTCTGGGTTTTCTAGAATGTGTTCTTGAGCTCAAATTCGACATTCCAACTACATTCCTTGCATATTATGGCTCCAATTTCACATATACTTGTATTAACATGGTACCAACACTAAAACACATCAATATGGAGCTCAATTTCATGACTCAAACACATGCATGGCTCATTTTCTACCAAACTCATTACCAATATAACAATTTCATGCATTCAACACTTACACCCTTGTAATTTGCACATGCATGTGGTATATTATTCTCATTCTCAACTTATATGATACAAATTGTGATCATAACATGAGCTTTAACCAAAACTCTACATGAATCATGTATTTCAAGCTCAAACATGCAAATTCAAAATAATTTCTTACATGCATGCACATATTGGCTCTCAATTCAATAAAACCAATTCAATTACACTTCAATCCTTGCTCTTGATCATTAATCCACTTTGAATACACAAAATTACACATTAAACTCATGGATTCACTTACCTAGAGGCTTAATTCTTCCAATCTATAGCAAATTCTTGAGTAATCTTCCAAAATCTCCAAGCCTCAAGACCAAAACCTCAATCTCCTACACTCTCTTTCTCTCTAAGCCGACCCTCTCTTTTTTCTTTGAGTTTATGATCAGCCAAAATGCAACAAAAGGAGGAGAAATGAGGGTGTAGTGCCCTTATACAACAATTTCCACTATTTCCATTACAATAATATTAAAGTAATTGGGCACAAATTCCTTAATTAAATCAGTTTAACCTGATCTGAATCAATTTTCAATTAAATTTCACCGTAGGCTCTAAAAATTATGCCAATCACAATGGCGCAATCAATTTTGGTTTCGGTAGCCGATAAGGCCTTCAATTTAATTTCAAAAGCAGATAATCGAACAAATATTCCTACAGTAAACAGATAGAAATTCAAAACCACATATTTTCACATACTTGCACAAAAATTCATATTAAACACATAATCATACTCATTTTAATGACCAATTAACATATTACGGAATAGGGGTATCACAGTCTTCCCCCCTTTAGGAAGTTTGGTCCTCCAAACTTAATTTACCTTTCGTCGAACACAATTCGGAACACTTTTCATTCAACGATTCCAGTCCTTTTTGATAGCCATTTACTTAGTCCCAAAAACAAGCAACACTCAGTTCTCAATCAGTCAGAGACTTAACTTTTTCTTCCATACAAGGCTTGTATGGCGCCATATCGAAACTAGAGTGCAAGCTGTTGTTGTAAGTAGAGTCTGCCAACAATGAATAGACTTTCCAAATTCCCTGAAAGATCTGCTGAATATATTTGGAGCATTTCTCCCAAAAGTTCTTTCTAATTATACATCAATTAGCGGATGAGAGGTAGCGCTGACTCACAATCCAGTTCTCATCGCCTCTTGAAGGCTTGCCAGAATTCAAACACATTTTAGGATCCTTGTCCAAAACAATAGTTACTAGGATCCCATGCAAATGAGCAATCTTGTCGATGTAAACAGTTGCTAGTCCATAAGCATTACACGAAGATTTTACATGGAGGATATGAACAAACTTAGTAATCCTATATACAATAACCCAAACGGGACTTATACCTTGGGTGTCCAAGGCAGCCCCACAATAAAATTCGTAGTCACATATCCCTATTTCCATTCTGAAATAGAGAGAGGTCGAAGTAGTTTCGCCAATATCTGATATTCGACTTTGACTTGTTAGCACTGAAAATATTTAGACACAATTTCACCAATTGCCCTCTTCAAGGTAGGTTATCAACATATTTATTTCGGATGCCAGCTAACTTTATCACAGAAGTTCGGTCTATTCCCTTGGCAAAAAGTTCAATTCATTCTTCAATAAATTCATAATTCACAATCCGATTCGGTATTTAGTTCAGTGACTCATCACAGTTATCCAAGGTTAACCAAAAGTCTTCAGGAATATGAAGTGGATCTAGATACGGATTCCTGAATCAACAAAGGTAGCATCGAAGCAATCAATTTCTAACACAGTACACGTGTCCTCAATTCATTCAACAGTTTACGGTTTACAATTCAGTCCACATTCAATCCCCTGTTCTATCGAGTCTATCCATATTATCTGATAATCGTCAAAAGCATAAGGCAATGCATATACAAATCCCCATGATGTCAAGGACAATATCAAAGGAGTCAATCACATATTAAGCACAATTTACACATCCCCAGTGTCCCAATTACAGAATATAATGGCACTGAGTAGTTATTTACACAGAGCGTACTGAATTCACACACTTTCGGATAATCAGGGTTTTTCCAAAGCTCCTTTGATGCTAATAACATCCACATAATACCAAATGGTGACATTCCGGACAAAACAAAGAGATAATCGTCTCGGAATCAAAGCACATACGTTCACGACTGTCAGTGGCCGACTCGAGATTGATTAAACAAACCCACCCGTACAAAACCGTCGGTGGCAAAAGAGATGACTCAACAAAGGTGCTACATAGGCTTAACGTCCCCTAGCACGAAAGGACACCCCAAGAATGTCATCAAAACAAACATAATACCACTCACCATAACCTGATTTCCCAAAATCCGATAACACTGAAGTAACTACCCTCCCATACAAAACATATTCTGATCAGTCAAGGATAAATGTTCAGTACTGCTTATATAGTCAAATCAATCTGCCGCTATCGGTTCTCATAGCATCAAACAAACAAGAATATGACAATACACAAGCATTATTCCATAAAACTCCCAATCACTGGATTTGCTCAATCCCGTTCACTTGTAACAAGTATGTCTTCAACAACTATAGGTCGGTTCTTCATAGTGTTCATGGTTAGATCGGTCTGTTGATAGCCCACAAAAGGTCTTTCAAATGAGTCAAGTATTCCAAACGGATTCAAGTTTTTGGGTCTATCAGTTTTTTCTGCCAAGAATAATCTGGCTATTTATTTACAAGCAATCCTTAATCTTCCTCTACAAAATCAAATTAGATAGAGGGTTTTACCAAATCAATCCAGGCAAAGGTCGTGTCAACGTAAATCAAACAAAGGTCCCCTCAAATCATATCCAATGAGGGTTCTATCAAGGCAATAGCAGACAAAGGTTCTATCGGATCGAATCAGATAAAAGTCTTCCCAAATAGGGTACACGGTTGATAGTTTCACAACTGTCCTAAGTTCATCACAACTGGTCATAACAAGGTATCTCAAGTCAGGTAAAATATGGCATTGTCCACATAAGTTCCGGTGTAGTTACATATACGTGCAATTATTCATATCAGAAGGTATGTGTCATAATCAATATAGCAGTTCTCAAATAAGTCTTAGATGCAAGCATATGGTACACAGTAACACATTAAACAAAGTTCTTCGATTACTCATAATATAGGATTTGTCACGCAGAGGTTCCAAATCAGTCACAAAACATAGGTTGACGAGTCAAGCTTAATATAGTCACATAGTCCAGTCAATTTTCTACCAATCAAAATACATGACCTCTCAATTTTAGAGTTCGTCCTTTATGGTGCTCAACTCGGTCACACAATCACAGAGTCAATCAATATCCCAATACGTATTTCACAATTTCCCAAATGGAGCACATATATATTTAATAAATATGGTCTTGATCTTGTGGGTTTGACCAATCCAAACATACAGGCAGCAATTATGGAAGGGCATGCTGATCCGAATCAAGCAATACCCCAAGCAAAGGTGTACACATGCACTAATTCAGAATCAATCACATATAGGCATTCGTTTATAAACAGTATAGATACTTGGAATAACGGTTGCAGCATTTTGAGTACTTTCTGAGACGAGTGCAATTACTGTATCTCGACTAGCAATTCCTACCATTAGTACGAATCTAACTGAGGCAAAAGATTTATTCATATTTTGTTCAGTTTGGGGACAATTTCTTACCACATGGTCCACTTTACCACACCTATAACGAGCCCTAGAGATCTGATAACAAACTCCTCGGTGTTTCTTACACTGGTGGTGGCAAGGTTCTTGCCGTAACGGCAACTGACGTTGTTGTCCTAAGATCTCTGCCATTTCTTATACTATTCGTTCCAGAGTATCAGGTCAGGCTATGAAAGAGTCTGCCAACTCGTATGCCCTTACTTTATCCATGTTCTACACAAACTCTTATTAAGCCTTGCCAAACACTGGAATACCCAATACAAAATTAAACACAGATATACATGCGTACATTCGCACATAAGCACATTTAATCACATACGTAACAGATGATTGCACACTTATCAGATATCGCATGTTGAATATTTACTAAGTAGTTATATACTCAAATCATATTCACATTTCACACAGACACCCATTTGCAGAGTCGAATGCACATAGACAACTTTTCATGATTCATATGTTCATGTATGTGCATTATAACAAAACAAACTCGTTATACACGTTAGTGCAACAATTCATATCTCATATAATCACATGTTTTCAACATTTGATTAAACTTGCATTATGCTTTATACAAAAGATTCACAGGTATGCATATACAAAGGAGCATACGTATTCAAATATTTTGCAATGCAAGCAATTTGCAAACTTATAGCACATAACCGTTCATATCAAAACAGTTAGGCGTATTCTCGATGCTTCCAAATTCATACTTATCATATGAATGCATCCTAGATCTTCTCTAGACACTTATTGCTCTTTTGGACAAGTGTGTGAATTATTAACTCGTGCTCTGATACCACTCTGTCACGACCCGAACCCGCCCCTATGGGTTAAGGCCATAACCGGCCAGTAATCACGAGATTACCTATGGCCTCAAAACAAACCAAACAAAACTTATCAGAGTAAAGGGGCCAAACGGAAGCAAATTAAAACTTTGTTTATAGAGCCGTGCTTAAATGCACATCATAACATTCCATACATACATATGTTAATAACTCACAACAGAAAGTATAGTAACATAAAGTTCTATACAGACAGGATCATTCAAATCTAAGTCAGCCAAAACAAAGCTATATATAGACGTACACCAAAGTCCTCGCCAACATGACAAAATAACATAGAATGGCAGAAGGGCGAAGACGTGTCTCGTGCGTGAGACGCAAGGACTGACTCTTCAAAACCTTAGTTGTTCTATATAGACTTCACTGGGGCTGGGTTTGGACTTCTCTTGGCTCACCTACAAACACATGAATAAGTGTGAACGAAAGGCCAGTGAATAATATCAAATAAAGAATATTCATTGGAACAATATACATCAAACGGCCTTGGGCCCAATTTATATTTCTACTAATACATACATACATAGACATATGCAAGTTAAGTAACTGCGGTTCCAAACACATCATACGGCCTTGGGCCCAATTCATTAGTGTTAAACTGTTATTCGTGTCAAACTGTTATTCATGTCAAACTGTTATTCGTGTCAAACTGGTCTTTGGCCTTTTCAAACTTCCATATCAAACTGACCTTCAGGCCTTTCAAACTTTCATATCAAACTCGCCTTTAGGCCTTTCAAACTTTCATTCATGTAAAACTGGCCTCTGGCCCATTCATGCATGTCAAACTGGCCTCTGGCCCATTCATGCATGTCAAACTTTCATTTGTGTCAAAACGGCCTTTGGCCCAACCATTTATGTCAATCGGCCTTCGGCCCAATCATTTATGTCAATCGGCCTTCGGCTCAATCATTTTTTCTTGTCAAAACGGCCTTCAGCCCATTCATTCATGTCAAAACGGCTTTTGGCCCATTCATTCATCTCAAAACGGCCTTTGGCCCATTCATTCATGTCAAAACGGCCTTCGGCCCATTCATTCATTCTTATCAAAACGGTCTCTGGCCCATTCATTTAGTGTAACAACCATTGTCCACCAAACGAATCAATGAACTTATAAAACTTACATAGAAGTAAGTAATTTGGACAACAACATATTTCAAATATTAAATATTACTCACAGTGATCGGCTTGTGGATTTGCCCTGGAGCTTGACCCTACACATCATATAATACATATGGGTCACAAATAATTCAATCCATTCTTTAATTTACATATTCCTCTTTAGGTTTCATTCTTATCTCTTTAATTCAATTACAATGCCCAATGTATGCCTAAGAGTACTTAGAAGTGAAAGGGAACGGAAAACGAAACACAGAATGATCACACAAAATTCTCAGAAGCAGGGTCCCCGCTCAAGCGTGAACTTACCCGCTCGAGCGGACCCATGAGGTCTGCAAAAGTATTGGCTATGTCATTTTTACGCTCGAGCGTGGAACTTGGACGCTCGAGCAGAAGTCCATTTTACATAGCTCCCCGCTCAAGCGTGGACTTCCTTGCTCGAGCGGATATCATGATCTGCAGAAAATACTGGGAACACGAAATTCACGCTCGAGCGGCAATTTCCCCGCTCGAGCGGACATTAAATTTCTGGATTTTCCAGAATGTGTTCTTGAGCTCAAATTCGACATTCCAACTACATTCCTTGCATATTATGGCTCCAATTTCATATATACTTGTATTAACATGGTACTAACACTAAAACACATCAATATGGAGCTCAATTTCATGACTCAAACACATGCATGGCTCATTTTCCACCAAACTCATTACCAATATAACAATTTCATGCATTCAACACTTACACCCTTGTAATTTGCACATGCATGTGGTATATTATTCTCATTCTCAACTTATATGATGAAGAGGTGGTCAAGAACATAATCTTCAACTAAAAACTCACATAGATCATGCATTTGGTGCTCAAATACGCAAATTCAAAGCAACTACATACATGCATGCAACATTGACCTTCAATTCAACATGATCAACTCAATTTCATTTCAATTCTTGTTCTTGACCATTAATCAACTTTGAACACACAAGATTACACATTACACTCATGAATTCAAGAATCAATTGCTTACCTAGAGGCTCAATTTTTCCAATCAATAGCAAATTCTTGAATAATCTTCAAGATCACCAAGCTTTGAGCTAAATTGCACAATTCTCTCCCTTTCTCTCTTTATAGCCGACTCTCCCTCTCCAAGCCTCAAGACCAAAACCTCAATCTCCTACACTCTCTCTCTCTAAGCCAACCCTCTCTTCTTTCTTTGAGTTTATGATTAGCCAAAATGCAACAAAGGAGGAGAAATGAGGGTGTAGTGCCCTTATACAACAATTTCCACTATTTCCATTATAATAATATTAAAGTAATTGGACACAAATTCCTTAATTAAATCAATTTAATCTGATCCGAATCAATTTTTAATTAAATTTCACCGTAGGCTCTAAAAATTATGCCAATCACAATGACGCAATCAATTTTGGTTTCGGTGGCCGATAAGGCCTTCAATTTAATTTCGAAAGCAGATAATCGAACAAATATTCTTACGGTAAACAGATAGAAATTCAAAACCACATATTTTCACATACTTGCACACAAAATCATATTAAGCACATAATCATACTCATTTTAAGGACCAATTAACATATTACGGAACAGGGATATCACAAAAAGTGTCAAGGTAGGAATGGAAAGTAGAAATGTACATGAATCAGATTGGTTTGGTTTTAGAGTAAACTAGAATCGAACCATATGAACCGGTTTCAGAAAAATTAGAACGGTAACCAAGTTGTTAAAGAATAGAACCAGATCAAAACCAAACCATAAAAACCGGTTTAGTTTGGTTCGGTTTTACAGTTCTAGAAATTTTATATAATAATAAATATAATATATATTTTATGTTTGTATACAAATTAACAATAATTAATTTGGTTAAAGTTTATCATTTTTATAATGAAGGCTAGTGTTCAAATCTTATAAGAAACTTTTTATATTTTATTTATATATATAAAAATACAAAAAAATAATAAAGAAATATGTTACGGTCTAGTTTGGTTTGGAACCGTAGCCAAAGCATTGGAATCAGGAACCGGACTGATTTAAATGGTTCTGCCATTTTCAAAACCAAAACCAGAATCAAAACTAATAAAAACCAAACCAAACCAATGATTTAGATCGGATTAGATCGGTTTACCCGTTCCATCCGTTTTTTTTACACTTCTAATGGAAAAGGAAGATGAGAGCAAATGTAAGTGGTCGTTGGATAGGTAGAGTACTTGTGGTGCCGAGTAGTAGGTTTGTGGAGAGAGGGAATGTGGTAAGCTATGAAAAAGGTTTGGTGGTAACAGGTAAGGGCGATATTTGTTTGGTCTATTATGTTGTGTTTGATTTAAGAATTTGACGATAGATTTGAAAAGGAAAAGATAACATATAGATAAAATGTAAAAAAAAAATTATATTAGTATATTTCACACACTATTTTTAGAGTAGATCACAAACACACCACTTGTGGTTCTAGAAATTACATTATGCCCCATAAAGTTTATAATTTTATAACAAATAGGTCCTTTTGAATAAATCATCAAATTAATTAATAGTTTTTAATAATGTTAAAATTTTATTTCAATTAATAATTCAGATAATTTTATTATTGTATAGTTGAACAGTTAGAAATTTCACTTTATCAATTAATTCTGTTAAATAAAAAATTATGACAGCGAGATATTTATAATTTTTCGCACCACAATAGGTAATTCGTATTTTAAACAAATCTTAGGGAGTATATTTATAATTTATCCTTATTTTTATTTTTCTTTCCAAATCCTTACTCAAATCCATGAACCAAACATAGACTTAGCATATGGGATTGGATTGACAATTTGTAAGCCCTACCAAACCCATGTTTGGCTGTACAAAATTGTTGGAACAATCTTCTGTATAAATAAAATAACTTGAAATAATTCAAACAAAATAAATAAATAACATACCAAATTTATTTCGTTGAACCGAATAAATAACTTAAGACCAAGTCGAGTGTGTGACACTTTGTCCTTAAGACAGATTCGCCCCGCTATGGTACTTACGGTTGAGTGGCATCTATCTCCCAGGATACAATGATCTTCACAAATTGTAGTAGTACTCCAAACAATTTGTTCGGCGAACCAAACCTGTGTTCTAACTCTCTGAATATTTTTCCCTAAAATTATATATGAAGAATATATGTACTTAGA